TGTTGATTATAATATTTTATTGAAGTATATTGTTGATTGAGATTTGTAAAATTTGTGTTTGAAATTTGCCTGTTGGTTAGAACCGATTATTGAGGACGATGCTTTAGAAGTAAGTTTAGGTAAAAGTTGATTAGGAATAATTTGTAATCCACCACATCACTTATTTTGTACACTTAACTAATCATATTAAACGTTTGCAATATCGACCAGTAAAGTGATAATTACTAAACAGTTATCCAACCATTTAGTTGTTCTTACATATGTAGCAGCCTTTTGACAATCATAATTTTACTGATCGATACCAGCAGCTAATACTTTTTTAAACAGAAACCTAATTAAATGCTACTTTTAATACACTTTTCACAGCATATCTTTCTTGCTAATTCTACTGAATCAATTATCTATTTGTTTTCAGTCTTCCTGTATTGAATACGCTGTTTATAAACTGAAAAAGATTAGTACTGTAAAGCAATAAATTTCCGAAGTAAGAAAGAAATAAAGTTTTAAATTCTTATTATTTATAGATTATAATCTGAAGGTCAAGCTTTTTAAACTGCTTAAATGTTTACACTTAGTTCTTATTTAAAAACTAATGTTTTGTTAGTTTTAGTAAACGAATTCTAGGTTTTGTTATGCTGTCTAAATATTATTTTAAAAAATTCTTGACCTGCTGTACAATTAAGCAGCCAATTTTACTGTTATTTCTAATGATTTTTTTTTTTTAACTGTCAAGATGTTTAAAGGTTTAAGCCGCAACAATCGTTCACTCTGTCTTATCAGATTAAACAATAAATTGTATTTTTTTCACTACAGCTATTGCTTATCAAAAAAACAACATAGCTCAGTGAGTAATACATTCTTTTAGTAAATTGAGAAAACATACTAGTCTCTATTTAGTTATCTGCTTTAAAATGTGTTAGTTTGCTTGTAAACCGTAAAATGTAAATAGTTCCTTACTTTCTGCAAAACCTCAAATTTGTTTATAGAAATATTAACAAAAACCAGAGCATAATACTTAAATATCGATTTTAGTATCGATTTAGAATCACAAGCTCAGTATGGCTTATAGACAAGTTTGTTGAGAATCATCAGCAAATATCAAATTAAACATGGTCTGCATTTCTAGTTAAAGTTTCAGATAAAGTGAAGGAAGATTGAGAAATACAAAATTTGAAAACGGTTTTTGCGCCACTATTCCAGGTTTTTGAGCTTGTAATACTAATTGTAGCAAACTTCTTTTTCTTTTTCTTCTTTGTGATATAACCAACGCCAGAAAAATAATTAGCAAAAAAACCGTCTTCCATGAAAGACTAGTGTATTTTTTAAAAAAAGTTGCATTTTGTAAAAAAATACTACTTAAAATGATGAGAATGCATCCTGAAGTGTTTGAATTTTCTGGACATGTTTTGAGGAGAGTATGTTTTGTGAGGATTTAGCCCGTGAAGATATTTTCATTAATTTGTTTTTAGGTCATTTTCTTCCGTGTTCTTGAAGTGAACTGTACTTTCCGGTACATCAACTGCTAAGATGTTTTTACTCTGCAGTTCAAAATCTGGAATAATTCTTGAAATGTCTTATAAAAAGTTTAAAACCCAATGCAGTTGGATAGACATTATAAGTCTAAAACTTTGAAATTCACCCTCAAACCTTGTCACATCGATAAAACTGACAGCAAGCGCAGAAATGAAAAAGGGCATAGGATTCCAAGCAGATAGACAGGCTTGTAAGAAGCATCAAAAATATGAAAAAAAACTTCTCCTGACATTCAGCAGTTTTAACATACAAAATATCTTCAATATTTTAGTTAGACCAGCTAGCAGGTATCTGAAGACCTTTTTTATAGTTAGGCAACATATGACTATTTTAATAGAAAACTGACAGAGGAGAATTTGAATAAGCAGGTCCAAGTCACATGTTTACTGACCTACACTTCTTTGATCTCAACTAAATAAATTGTGTATCAACACTTAAATCATTTTCGGCTTCAAAATATGGTTTAATGTTCTGACCAACATTAACCCTTAGATCACCATACAAAAAAATTTTCAACTTTATCACAGTACTTACTACAAATGCTTATAATAATTAAATCGCAGAACATTAGAGTTTGCTTCAGGAACAAATAGCTGGAACTGGTACACGTTGCAACTTCAGATAGATAATGAAAATCCAGTGCTGAACAGCTAACGGTAACCACGAGTAAAGTCGGTAACTTAAATTCACAGTTTACTTTTGCCAAGTAAGGTTAACACTCTTTTACCTTTATTTTTAATGACCATATCTTAAGGTGATAAATATGTAGATAAAAACTGTATTACGAAATATGAAAATAACTGCTAACTAAAATTAGCCGAAAAAAACTTACACATAACGGGCATCGACACCAACAGTATAATTCAAATACGGATATTTGGCTGTAACTGCATGAAAGTAAGCATCAGTAACCTCAGCCAGGTTTAACGCACCAAATTCAGTAATTTGTACCAAGACATCTCTCACTACAACAACTGAACGTGATAGCTGATCTGTAGCATTACAGACATTTTCTGTCCAAAATTAGCCTTAAGCATAATGATAATTAAATCAGCAATAAAATGCATCCTATATAATGTTTTCTAATAACTCTAAAATTTTAAGTAAAGCTGATTAAGAAAGTAAAATTGATTAGTTGACATTCGCTTCATTTTTGATATAATCTGATTACATCTAGTTACCTTTTGCAAACCATTTTTCACCATATTCCTTTCTGAGATCATCAGGCGCTTTTTCCCAAAGGTTATTCATCGACTTCAACAATTTTGGTGTTCCATTGATCTCCGTAACAAATATACCAGGTTCTATTGTAATCACTCTGACACCAAAGTCATGCATTTCTAGCCTTCAATAGAATTAGAAAAACCGTTGCAGCTTATAAGTTGCAAAGCCTTTAAACACTCAGTATAGAATATGAAATTAGGCAAGCAGTCTTATTTATTTTTTTGAAAATTTCCGCTAGACCGCTGTTTTGAAGTAGCAATAAGTTTAAGCATCTATATTACAATTGCCGAGAACCCACAAGATGCACGCTTATCTTTATTTAAGCACCGGTGACCCAGATTACGATCTGCAAAACGCAGAATATTTCACTCTCTCAGAAAACAAGACTGAACCAAGCATTTTTATTCTGACTATAAAAACGAACAAAAGTGGTTATTTCAGCAGTTTTTCGCTTAAAAACCTATAAATCCTCTTCATTTTTCTTTAAAAAAATCAGGTTCGTACAGGTTTACATCATCAGTGTAACCGAAGAAATAAGTAGCATTGCTTAATTCTGAACAGCTACAAGTTTAGACTAACTTTAGCACTTTTATCAAGTCTAGTGTATTATTAATTATAAGAAACACGAATACAATGGGCGCCTTGTTTCAGGAATATCTTCAAATGCCAAAAACACCCTGGAGATGATCAAAGTAGAACCTCTTTAGCCATTACCGATTAGTAGCAGGAATTTAGATACACGTCGATTGCACATTCTTGAAAATACTAATTAGTAAAAGCTGACAAACGTTATTGTCTGATTAGTGTTCTTAATTCCAACTTACTTTTTTTTGAAAAAGTGGCAATTTAGCTTTTGAATACTACAATAGAGTCACTACTAACTTAAGTTCACGCTGTACAAAAAAGCATTTTCCAATAACTACAAGTCTCGTTATGACGAGAATTTGAGAAACTAGTAAACAGCTAAAGGAAGTAAAGCGTAACGTCACAAAATAATGCAACGATAAGCTGAGAAGATTAATCTACATAGAACTGGAGCTTTTCAACATTTTGATTTGCTGCTGAGACAAAGCATTGTTCTGCCAATTGATAGAAAAATATTTTTTATCCAAAACGCCACTTGTAACTGATCGTCTCAAAATTTCGTAGACTAACTCTCTTATGTGAGCGATGGATAAAAGTTTTAATGACGGACGACAGCGTAATCACAGAAGCAGAAAATCACTGCGCAGTACTCAGTAGAAGAGAACAGTTATGCAAAATTGCTGTGCGTTCACTGCTGCCCAACCAGAATTCCATTCTTCTTTCGGAAGCAACAAAGGAAAAATGATACCAAAACTTCCTCAGAAAACCTCAAAGACTTGAATACTTTTTTTAAAGCCCTTATATTTGCTCGTCTATGACACCATACAAAATTGCAGCTTTACACCGTCAACCTCAACCTTTTGTCGCAAAAATTTGAGTAATTTCTAGGACTAGGAAATCAGCGTGCGTTTAAAATAGCGTTATTTACAAATGTAATATGGCCATTGCTCAATTCCCCTAAAATTCTGCTAGATAACCTTAAGCAATAAACAAGCTATAAAGTAAACGACTATTATGCGAAAGGTAGAAAGAGCATTAATAAAAGAAACAAACAAAAATTGATGACCTATCTAACCCTAGTCTTACATCATCGCTATATTCGTAAAAGATTTGCGTTTGCTTCTCCAAAAATTATACTTGAGAAGATAGTAATAATAGAACAATTAAAAAGTGACCGAAATGTGATAATCTGAAAATTTTTTTTTGTACTTTTCTCAGTGAAGAATTAACAACAAAAAAAAAAAGCAGCTTGTAGGTTTTTCTTAAAATTTTCAAGCAACAAATTTTTTTTTCATGTTATAAAACTATAGACAAAAATAAGTACTCCCGATTGTAATAGTTGATTGACTAAACATTATCACTGTTATACTAAAGAAACACGTCAACAACAACTTCAAAATGATTACCTCAAAGTTCTGGCATAACCGTCAGCCGCGAATTTACTGAATATATACGGGATCATATCAGGCGTCTGCATTTTCAAACAGGAACTTGTACAGACAATTATTCTGCCTCTGAAAAAGTGGTTATCTCCAGTTCCATTTCAAATGATTGAAATCAGCTGTTAAATATAATGTCCTTTGCTCTTTCTCCAATTGAATTTACTTCATGCACAACGTTGTCTTTTCGAAATCGCCTGTTTTTCAAAAAAAAAAAA